CACAAAGTCCGGAGATGTGGTGCTTCTCCTTATTCTAGAAGATCTACGAGGAGGTACTAGCCCTTCAAGTTCAGAAATGCTTTCTTGAACCTCATTAGTAGCCTCAACTATTGATCATTTTCAATGGTCTCAGCAGGTGTTACATCCCCATAATTGGGGAGTTGTTGTTCCATTTCTCGTACAAGTAAAACATAATTTGTATATGCAACAACACTTTGCCCACTTGGTTGAGCTTTAGGGAGCTCTCTCCCACTTTCTTCATAATCCTCTAAAAATTAGCATTCCTAGCTTCTACCACCCTTAAGGCATTATTAGGACAGTAAAACCTATATCCTTTTGACTTTTCTGCATATTCTATGAAGTATTCACTTATGGTTCTTGAATCTAGTTTCCCTAACTGTGGGTTATATACCCTTGCTTCAACTTTACAGCCCCAAATGTATAAATGGTTTTGGTTGGGTTTCTTTCCAACCCACAGTTCAAAAGGTGTCTTAAGAATTGCTTTTGTTGGAACCCTATTCAGTATGTACACTGCAATTTTAAGGGCTTCCCCCCACAAATTTTGTGGTAGAGAGGAGTTACACATCACACTCCTCACCATGTCCATAAGTGTTCTATTTCTCCTTTCTGCCACACCATTTTGATCAGGAGAACCTGGCATGGTGTATCACGCGACAATACTGTGTTCTCAAAGAAATAGAGTGAAGGCCCCCAAATTTTGACCAGCTTCTATGTACCCACCATAATAATCCCCACCTCTATTAGACATTATGATTTTAATGGTCTTTCATGTTTGTTTCTTTACCTCTACTTTAGATACATTAAATGCCTCTAGGGCTTCTGATTTTTCACACAGTAGATAAAGATACATATATCTAGAGTGATCATCAATAAAAGTGATGAAATATCTTTGGCCACCCAAGCAGGTTGTAGGTTGGGGTCCACAAATTTTTGTATGGATAAAGTCTAAAATCACACTACTTCTTGTAGCCTTCATTCCCCTCTTGGTAGTTTGTTTTCTCTTTATACAACTTACACAAGTAGGGAACTCAGTGACCCAACCTTTTGTTCCACAAGACTAGTAAGTCCTCTTCGTGATAGCTCCTTTTAATACCTGCATTGCAACTTAAGACCAATTTGGTCTTGCCCAATGAGCAGTCCAGTTTATAAAGGTTGTCAACTAAGAAACCATTTCCAACTAATTTATTGGATTTAAATAGATCAAACTTTGAACCAATAAAAACTAATTTAAAACCATCTAAAGTTAACTTGGAAATTGAAATCAAATTCTTGGAAAACCCAAGCACAAACACAATTTTGTTCAAAAATAACTCAAAACCAATGGAAAGTAATAATTGAAATGTTCCTACGGCCTTCACTTCAAGGTGATCTCCATTTCTAAGGTAAATGTGCTACTTACTTGGGCTCGATTTCCGCATCTTTAGAAACCCCTACATGGTATTAACAACATGGATTGAGGAACCGAAGTCAATCCACCAAGAGTCTCTATGGACTTCTATCAAATGTGATACACAAACAAGGGATAGATTTATACCTACATTCTTTCCCTTCTGGTCTTTCTTCCTCTCCAACCATTTCTTGTAACGAGTGCAATCACTCTTGAAATGGGCCATTTTTCTTATAGAAGAAGCATGTCGGATACACTTTTCCCTTTCCCTTGGTCATTTTCTGAACTTTGCCCTATAAAGCTTCCTTTATTTTTGTCCTTAAGCACAAGATTTGTTGTTTCCAACTTCTCATGCATTAATCTCTCTTCCTCTTGGACACATATAGTTAAGAGTCTGTTGAAACTCCATGACTCTCCTTGTGTGTTGTAAGAGATCTTAAAGGGTCCATACTCTATAGGTAGAGAATTCAACTTCAACACGAAGGCCACTAGGAAAGGTTCAGCAACGGTGACGCCTAGACTACTTAACTTGTCACTTATATCCTTCATTTCTAATATGTACTCTCTCATTGTTTTGGAATTGGAGAGCTTCATATTAAGCATTTTGTTAAGAAGGCTCTGTGACACCATTTTCTCTTAGGCCTCAAATTGTCCTTTTCTATTTCAACCAGGTATTCTATTACTATCTCCTTATCGAAGACTGCACCTCTAATATTTTTTGTTGATTTTGGACTTCATTACCATTTTGCATAGCATGTTGGAGTTTTCCCAATTTCTGAGGAATTCCTTCTCTTCCTTGGTGCTCTCATCCGTGATGATAGGGTTTTCTTTAACCCATATAACTAGGTCCAAGTTTGTACAGCCTAAGGCAATAAGAAAACTCTATTTCCCTTCCTAGAAATTGTCAATGTCAATGCCAATGACCATTGGCCTTTGGGCCCACATGATCATTGGCTCGTTAATTGGACACAATTTGTGGTTGCCTACTCTGGTTTACACTTAGATTGCTTTGGTGCACCATTGTTAGAGTGTGAGATCCATAAAGTTATGGCCCATCATTGTGGTCATTGGGGTTTCTCACTTAAGGATGCCCATTTTGGTTGAATCAAAGTTACAAGGCCCTAGAATTTCTCAACCTACTTGTCATTATCTAACTTTAAATTTAAAATTCAATTTTAGAGGATAAGAGAGTGGGGAGTGGTTGAGCAAAATGGGGGATGTGTTTGGTTCTCATAGGCTATTGTAGAGGAAGTTCCTTGATGGGAGGGAACAACCTACAAAAAATAGATGGATATGGCCCCTCCCTTTTAGCACTCCTCTAAGAGTGGAGAATCCCCTTCATTCTTACTCCTACCACCAAATTTTCTTTGGGAAAGAGGAGATTGTCAAAAAGGGAGACTAGGCTCTAGCCTCTCTAGAGCCTTCAAGTGCAAGGAGCAATTTTATTAAAGTTGCCAAATAGAGGATCGTTTTGGATGGCTAATCAATCAACTCTTGGGAAACGTTCTACCAAGCTTGAAGTCTAAAGATAATGGTTCATGGCAATGGGCACTGCAAGTATGATCATTATTTAGTTTATTTTAATTATTTGGTCCAAGTTTACATTGATATTCAGTCAACTAATAATGCTGAAACTAGAAAGGATTAGTAATAATCGAAAGGATTCAAAGGTTTTTGAGAAGGCACCAAATGCAGTTAGACAATTCAGTAGTCAAAAAAGCAGCCATAATGTTCAGGTCAAGAGTCTTTGCAAGATTGATCGGGGTTTACTTGGGGTTAGGCCCATTAAGAAGGTGAAGAAGTCAAAGAAAGCTAATAAGATAAGTAGAGGAGGTTCCTATGAAAACACTTGGAGAAGCTGAGTAACTGGTAATTTTAATTTTAGGATGGATGCTTAGTGAGTTGCGTGGTGGTGATGGAATGATGTCTTATAGTTGAAGGGCTTTGCTTAACAGGGTAAAGGTTGTGGTTTCTTTTTAGTTGAGGATGAGTTGTTTATCAGTTGGTTTCTCTGGAAAGATCATGTTTTTGAAGTTGAGTGAGGATGGGTTTTTTCTTTTTGAAGTTGCTTAACTTCCTATATCTCTCTTTTTTCTCTTAATAAATTTTCTTTTTTATTTGCTAACAAAAAAAAAACAATATGGGAAGGTCATTTGATCAACACAATACAGATATGTCCTAAAGCTGAAATATAACTGATGCATATCAACCCTGTTCCAAAGTACTTGGATAATATAATCCAGATCCATGACATGATAAAAAACAAAGCATGCAATATGAAACTCAAGATATGGCCCTATGAGTGGGATAGAACAGGATTCAACAAAGCCGCTCAAAATTGTGATGAGGCAAGTGGTACTGTAGGATTTTGATGATTGAGAAACATCTCTCCTCAGTTTCAACTTCCAAGATGTCGCCCAACTTCTGAAGTATGAATAAAGGTTATAGACAGTTTTTGCATGGACATGGACACATATCCAAGAATCAAAATTCAACTTGTGCCCTGGAGTCTGACTCGACAAGAAGAAACAAGGACCCCTCGGCACATCTCTAGAAAAGTGTAAACTATTAAAATAGTCCTTTTTTTCTTTTAACATTATAAGCTCATAGAAAAATGTCTAAAAGATTATCTTTATTACTTAGAAACATTTTGTAGAACATGGGTATCCGTGATAAACATTAACCATTCATTTATGTTGAATAGGAAAGGATAAAGGGGAAAATATTAGATAGAAATGCCCTTCAAGAATCCATGGAGTTTCAGAATCTAATGTGTGCAGATACAGACACTTCATCCATTTAGGAGAGTCCACGCAACACTGATTATAAAACATGAAAGATGGTATTCCCAGGGCTCCTCTAGTATCGTCTTGATATGTAACTAGCAGATTTGGTTAGCAATAGCATGCATAAATTCAAGTACCAAATAGAACCCCCTACCTTCGTGGAAGGGGATTAATGGTCAGGATATTGGTTTCACAAAAAAAGCTTTGAACCACGGTGTCTGTGGTGCAACTCTGAGAGGTTTTAGCAACTAAGCTGACTGGAACTGGAATATCTGTGCATTTCTACCTCTTGTTACTTCTACCTTTTTTATGGTAAATAGAACTTTCATTCCACAGAAATACGAGAAGACACATTTGTGCAAATTATAATTCACAGTTTTAATTCTCACTATCCTATATACTAAGGTGAAGTCGACCATATTGATTAGTGCAACTCAAGAGATACCAAATATTAGAAACCAGGACCGATTGATTCTTAGAGCCTCTTCGAGAGGCCTCGTGAAATTAAAAGCTAAAAAAGAAAACAAAAGCTAAAATATACTAAAGAAAACATGAAATGATCAAATAGTTTAGAACGGTAGAACCCAGTTCGTATTTGTGATCTTCGTTCAAATGAGAATAGACCAAAAGAAGAGTCCAATTTTATACAAATTCATTATATGTGCGCGGCTTTTGCAAAGCCCCTATATAAGTATTGAGAAACATCACAAAAAAGAAATAAAGAAAATATATATGATTTCGCCTTACTAACATATAGGGAACTAAATGATTTTGTTAGAGTAGCTGCTAGAATGAAACAAAGATACCTAGCTATAATAGAGTTCGAGACCCATTCCGTCGTGGATCTCGTAGTCCTTGAGGGTGATGTGATCCTTGTAGATGGTGTACCATTTCTGAATCCGTATCTTCTCGGCTCTTGTCCCCGTCTGCGCAGCGACGAGCTTCTTGAGATCGCCGATCGTGTCATCCTCGTTGCACTTCACCCTCACTTTCTTACCCAAACGATCGTTCAATACAACTTCAATCATCTTGTCTTGGCTTCTTCCTGTCTCTGACTCTGCAGTTGGCGTCGGATGAAAACCCTAATCCTCAACTTTCCCACCCACGCAGAGCAAACCGGAAGATATTTCTTTACTTCCTTTTCTTACCCTCCAGCTGCAGGCGCTAATTTGACGAGTTCCAATTTCCAAAGAGTAAAGATTACGCGGTTAGCTTTTTTTATACTTTCTTCTTTTCAACCGCTTTTGTCTTCATGGACTTGGATTCGGATCCAGATTGGGTGGTTATCCATGCCCCGTAAAAAGCATTGTCTTCTTCACCCGTTTTGAGCTACACTGATCGCTCAACTGGACGATCACAATAGCAAAACATAATGCTATCTCTAGTGAAACAGCCAGTTTTTCACAGTATTTTTCTTTCAAAGAGACCCAAATTTTGGGTTATCCAATATTTTCATCAAAAACGTCTCAAATATGAAGTGTTCTTCACTGTTTTGTTAAACTACAGGATCGTTTTTCACAGAGATTTGGCCGCCAAAGAGACCAAAAGACTGGTTTGGCCATTATTTGCATCAAAAATCACAGAGAACTTGGTGTGAAGACACAGAATAATCACATTTATAAATAGAAGTTAGTAGAGGTAGATCAGGCTATGTGAAGGCATAAAAAGACATAAAGAAAAAAAAGTAGGAATACAACAAAACACAGTGCAAGCAAATTAAGTAAAAAAAAAAAAAAACATAATATTTAGTATATAATAAGTACAAAAACAGAATAATGAAGATAGTTAAATCATTAAATATATATATTATCACCATTAATAACTTTTCCCTGACCCTTGTTTTAAAGTGCTGGTTGTGAGATTTGATTCCGAGTCAACGTTCGAATTTAGAACAAATCAGCTAACACACATCAGTTGGTTCTAAAATATCTGCCACTGATCAGTGGAAGTTAATTAAAGCTCTCCCTCATGACCTTTGTTTGTTAGCCAACCTGTTACTTGGTTGCCTTCTCTGTGATGTGGATGTTGCACATCACCCCTGCTCTTGCCTTTTCTACAGGCTTACTACATTGTTCCAGCATAATCTTGCATGTGAGAGCCTTTCATTTCTAAACTCGAACCATACTCCTTTGATGGTTCACCCAAGTAATAAAATAGATTTTGGCCCCAAATCATTCAGATTTGAAAATATGTGGGGAAGTAGAGAGGACCTAAACCAGATAATTGGGGAAGCTTGGAACCAAAGAGATAGTGGGTCCAAAAGCCAACAAATTTTAAACAAAACAAATAGTACATTAATCCATGAAATAAGGAAATGGAACAAATTAAATTTTGGAAATATACAGAAAAAAGAAAAGAAAAATCTAGTGGAGCAAATTAAGATAGCTCAAGAGAAGGTTTTGGAAAATCCTAGGAGAGACATTATTCATAGAGAACGAGCATTATAAAAACAACTGAATAAAATACTACAAATGGAAAGAGATATTTTGGGCTCAAAAATCGAAATTTGAGTGACTAAAGTGTGGGGATCTATTCATTACCAAGTTCTTTTACCGAGGAGATAAAGGATCTATTCATTACCAAGTTTATGGAGAGGTTCAACATGGAGGTTTGCCTCAATGGTTTGACAAGAGCATCAGATGAGAGGAAAAAGGAACTTCTAATTAGACAGGTAACTTCAAAGGAAATATGGAGTGCAATTCAATCTATGGGTGACTCCAACTCCCCTACCCTTGATGGTTCAAATGCGTAATCATTGGAAAGTAAGTAGAGGACACAGTTAAAAGCTTTTTTCCACTCAAGGAAATTGACCAGAGGCATTAACAAAACATTTATAGCCCTCATACCAAAAACTAATAACCCCGACACCGTCGATAAATTTCGATCGATTAATCTTTGCAACACAATATATAAAATAATAGCAAAAACCTTGGTCAATAGATTAAAACCGTTTATTGGAGACATCATAGCCCCCTTCCAAAGTGCTTTGCTTTGCACCTGGAAGACAAATTACTGACAATATGTTGATTGCACATGAGATGACGAACACAATGAAAAAAAACAAAGGAAAAAGAGGTCTCGTGGCATGCAAAATAGATATAGAGAAAGCATATGATAAATTAGAATGGACATTTATAGAAAAAGTGCTCAAAAAAAAAAAAAAAATGGGGCTTCATATTAAATGGGCAAACTAACTACAGTATCTTGTCAAATTCTCATTAATGGGGACCTCCCACCCTACATATTTGTTCATTGCAATGAGGTGCTCTATAACAAGATTTGTTCAAATGAAACCAAAAGGGATTGCCTAGGCTTCAAAGCTTTGAGAAATGGGCCTAATAGCCCTTTTCTTCAATTTGTTGATAATTGTATCATTTTTACAAAAGCAAATCTCAACAATACTGCAAGAATCAAGGAGATCATGAGTCTGTATGCAAATGCATCTGGACAATGCGCCAACTTTGCAAAATCTACTATCTTTTTCTCCCCTAACATGCATAGTAGAATTATTGATATCTAGAATCTTAAAAATCCCAATAGAAAATAAAAAGGAAGAATACTTGGGAGCTCCTATCATAGAAGGTAGAGTGACAAGGAAGACACCTTCAAGAAGGTGGAGGAAAATATAGATAAAAAACTTGCAGGGTGGAAGAAAAATGCCCTATTGATAGCAGGCAGAGCTACATTACTAAAGGCTTCTATTATAATATGATGCCACAATTTTTTATGAGAGTTTTCAAACTCCCAAAAATTATGATAGAAAATATTGAGAAAAAAACAAAAAAAGCTTTCTTTGGAATTGGGGTAGAAAGAGAGAAGTGAACCTAGTTAAGTGGGAAACTATATGTAAATCGAAAAAGAATGGAGGATGGGTTTAAGAAACTTAAAATGGGTTAATGAAGTAAGTATTGCCAAACTGGGGTGCAAAATACTTACTCGCCTAGAGAATTTATGGGTGAAATTAATAAAGGATAAATACATTAAAAACCAAGACTTTTGACAAATTAAACCAAAGAAATCAATTTCTTAGGCTTCGAGGAGCATTCTCCAATTTAGAGAGGTCCTTAAAAAAGGAGTTGATTGGGAACTAAGAAATGGGAAATCTATAAATTTCTAGACAGATGTGTGGATGGGTGATAAAGCCCTAGCAAATGAAGACATATATATCCTCAAATGGATCAGCATTAATGCAAAGTTAATGAGTTCATCAATGACTCAAAGACATGGAATCAAGAAAAAATTATTGATAAAGTCAGGATGAAGAGGATAGAGTGATCTGGAAGCACAACCCTAATCATGAACGCTCCATTTAATCAGCCTGCTCCTTATCTGGAAGGAAATTCAAATGCCAATGACAGAATCAAGAGACTTGGTAAAATTTGAAAATTAAAAAGCCCTACAAAATTACACTATTTCCTATACTTAGTGTTGAATAACAAACTTCTGACAAAACAATAGAATTTAGGGCTAACTGATGTAGCGGATTGCCCTTTTGTGGAAACGAAGAAGACCTAAAACATCTCCTCCACAATTGTGTTAAGGTGAGGCAAATCTGGTTAAAATTTTGCGACACTATACCCATACCCTCATTAAATGGGACCGGGACCGTGAAGTAGTTGTCATCCTAAAGTTGCAGCTTTCCTCGATACAAATTCATTATACAAGGAAATTCATCAAGAACTTCATTGATGAATGCCTCCATGTTTGCAATCACTTCAACCTCGTCATCTCGTATTCTCATGCGTTAAGAGAAACAAATTTTGCGGTGGATCGATCATTTGGCAAGCTTACGTCACGTATTAAATGTGTCCGATATATACTAACTTTGAAAACCAAGCGCTTCGATTCAATTGTTTCTTTGATGCCTGGGGCCATTTTACCAAGTGTCATGCCTCCTTTTAGTTTCTCCTTTGTGTAATTTTCTTGTTTCGGTGTTTTTGTTTAAAAAAAAAGAATCCCCTATAATAATGTTATCAACTTCTAAAGCCCTTAGTTTCCTATAGCTGCTCTCATCTCTGCTGTGGTAATGGTGGATAATCCACCCCTCCCCTCTATGTTTACGAATAATATATTGGTTGACAGTATTGAATTCTGATGCATCAAGCTTTATTTTCAACTCTCCAAGTTTTGGTAGTGGCCAATTTAACCCATATGCCTAGTTTTTCATGCATCTCCTCAATTAGGCCCAGCATCCTTTTGGCTTCGATATATTCTCTACATCTTCTAAGATTAAAGGAGAGCTATAATTTTTATTTTTAGAGATCTTTTCGTTTATGCATTTCTATAAGTACCACATGATATAGGCTATAGGCTGCATTTGGCATTCCCTATTTTAAAGATTCATCTCTTTTTTGCAGTTAAAATATCCTTATAAATATTAAATTTTTAACAGTAAAAAGGAGATAAATCCTTAAAATAAAGAATGGCAAATGCAGCCATAGTCTATTTTCTCCCACGCCATATTATTTGCTTCTCTAAGGTGATCTGCCTTGTGAACTTCATTCCACCGTTCTAAAGACATTTTGGTGTCTATTCTGATCTGGGCATTGATATTATCCCCAATCGTTCCCCAGACTTGTCTTGCTATTTCGCACTTAATAAGTAAGGATGTGCATTAAATCCTCAGCTCGAGAATTCGAGATCAATGTTAAAACCCTTGTCACATAATTTGACCTTAGTGGGTAGTTTGTCCCTCAGCTCGTGACTAACCAAAGAAATAGCTTTATCATTGTTATTTGCATGCCACTTGGGTCTTCCTCCTTTTTGAGCATCTCATAGGCAGACTAGACTGTCGGTTCCCAACTAGGACTGGCTCCCCATACTATCTCATTCTCCCTATCCTCCAAAGGTAGCAGTGTAGCACTATCGATTCGATTCTATGTATCACTTCCTCAAGGAATAACTGTCTCATTTGAATCTGATCCCAGTTTTTAGTTTTTAGTTTCATTAGAAATTATTTCACTTACTGTTGAAATCTCCTCCCTTGCAAACTTGTTTTGTGTGTTAATTATAGTTTCCAATGGGTGATTATCTTTCCATAACTTGCACCTCCTACCGTTTCCTATTTGGCGCATCATACCTTTTTTTCCAAATTCTCTATCTGATTGCAAAATCCTCTCTCGGCCCAGGAGCATATCTTAAAGAATTCCTTAATTTTTAAGTATTTACTTTTCACTACCTCTACCCTATCAGGTCATGC